CCAGAAAGATGTGACCTCTTCAGTCTGGGCAGACAGAAAGATGGTGACAGGACACTTGTTATTAGGAAGATATTTGTTTATGCTGTATATAATTTTTCATTAATTATTTCTCATCTTCTCAGCTCTTTGTATTATTAACCATTCCAGGAATGTACATACATTAGCTAATATGTCCCCCAAACAAATGCAGAATGTAGGGAATAGTTTAACTTCCTCATAATTACTGGAAAATAAATGACTGAAATGGATTTACATTTCACGTATACTGTTGCCCTACTTAGAGAAACAAAGGGGTACTAATTTTCTTGGACACAGAGCTGGATTTCTGAATAATTCTCTGAATCAGTAAATTTCTGTGCTTTAGGAAAGTAGACTCCTTCATTTCCTCTGCTTCATCTAGGGGCATAGATCTGCTGTCTCTGGAAGTCCAGGCCTCCTTACTTTTCTTCCTGCTTCTGACATAAGCTCATCTCCTTACCATTGGCTCCTCCTCCTGGCAGCAGCTGAAGAGAGGGGAATCTCAGACTCACTAACCAGACCTCCATCCTTCTAAGTAGTATAGAAGGGATTGTATTTTGGCCACAAGGTACTTACCTTGCTTGTCATAGCCTTCTCTACCTCTTCACATCCTGAAGGAGCCCAGAAAAACTGCAACTAAGATACTTACCTTTATACCACTGGCTAGATACCTTAGCGAATTGCTATTCCCCAGGGATGTCCAAGCCGCAGCCCAGAGGATAGTCTATACTTGTTTTTTCTTGGGCAATGGAAAATGTGTGGGATATGTGTGTTGGCATAGAGGGTTATAAGGAAAATGAGATATTTAAGCAACTGAGATGTGGAGGAGAGGTGTAGAATCCTCATCATCTGTAGGTTCATCCATTCTACCACATCTGCAGGAAATTTTTCTGGGCATTTCAGTTTTTTCCTTTACTTTTCTCTTTAGTGATATCAGATCAGACATCTGGAGTCACACAGAACAATTTCTGGCTCTGCTAAATGGTACCTTTCAGAAACACAGGGTTCATTGTGTCTCTTTCCCTCCACTCTCTCCTTGGCCCTTAGGATTGTTCATGCAGGTTAAGAACTGCCACTTTCTGTGTCTGTTCTTCATGTGACATTGTGAAAGCCCCATTCTGTTGCACAGCAAATATGTATCAAGCAACCTGAGAAGATAGATGGGTAATAAAGGGTCCCAAGGTAGAGAGAGATGAATGGGGGTACACATGTTTACTGGGAGCTTCCATATCTCTATTTTTATGTTTTTAGAGATACAGAATGTCTTCCAACATAGGAAATTTTCCTTGCTATCTTGTTCCATCCCCAGGAGTTTCCTTTTTTTTACTAATATAGTGAAATAAATTGAAAATATGAAGAAGCCACAGGACTGAAATGCAATAGTATCTCTGTGTGTGTGCATGTGTGTGCATGGTAGCTTTATTAAAGTATAATTGATGTGTAAAAATTATTAATGTATTCATTTAATAAAATTTGACATATGCATACATTCATGAATTTATCATCATAGTCGAGGTAATAGACATATCAATGAATTCCAAAAGTTTCCTTGTTGCAAATTGCAGGATTTCCTTTTTTTTTTTTAAGGCTGAATAATATTCTACAGTATGTATATACCACATTTTCTTTATTCACCTTTTGATGGACATTTGGATTGTTGGATCTTGGCTATTGTGAATACTGCTGCAATGATAATGGAAATCTAGATATGTAAGTAATGTACCTCAACATACTAAAATACTCAACAGTGAAAAACTAAAATATTTTCCTTCCTTTCCTTCCAAGGATGCCCATTCTTTCCGCTTCTGTTCAACATAGAACTGAAAGTCCTAACCAGAGCAATTAGACAAGAAAAAGAAATAAAACCATCCAAATTGAAACATAAGAAGTAAAATTATCTTTCTTTGCAGACAACATGATCTTATGTATAGAAAACTCCCAAAACTCCATTAAAAAACTTTTAGAACTAATAAACATAGTAAAGTTGAAGGAAACAAAATCAGTATACAAAAATCAGTTGTGTTTCTATATGCTAACAGTGAACTATCCAAAAAGAAAATTACTAAAACAATCCCACTAACAATAGCATGAAAAAGAATAAAATATTTAGGAATAGACTTAACCAAGGAGATGACTTATACACAGAAAACTATAAATCATTGATAAAAGAAATTAAGACACAAATAAATGGAAAGGCATTGTATGTTCATGGATTAAAAGATTTAATATTGTCCAAATATTCATATTTTGGATAATATTCATATTACCCAAAGTGATGTATGAGTGCAGTACAATTCCTATCAAAATCTCAATGACATTTTTTACAGAAATAGGAAAAAACAATCCTAAAATTCATATGGAGCCACAAGAGACCCAAAATAGTCAAATCAGTTTTGAGATAGAAGGAAAAAGCTGGAGGCATTACACTTCCTGATTTCACAGTACATTAAAAATCTATAGTAATTTAAAACAGTATGGTACTGGGGCACCTGGCTGTCTCAGTTGGAAGAGCACGCAACTCTTGATCTCAGGAATGTGAGTTCAAGACTCACACTGGGTGCAGAGATTATTTTAAAAATTAAAAAAAAGACAGTTCTCATATAAAAACTGACATTTGGGATAGGGAGCCCAGAAATGAATGACACATGCAGTCAACTAGTTTTTTACAAGGGTCCCAAGAATATGCAATGGGGAAAAGACAGTCTCGTAAACAAATGGTGTTGGTAAAACTGGGTATCTCCATGCAAATGAATGACATTGGATGCTTATATTACACAATATACAGAAAAGTGGACCTGGGATTGTAAAACTCATAGAAGAAAACATAGAGAAGAATCTTCGTGACATTAGACTTGGCAATAATTTATTGGATATGACACCAAAAGCAAAATCAATAAAAGCAAAATTAGACAATTGGAGCTACATCAGACTAAAAATGTAATGCCCATGGGACACCTGGGTGGCTCAGTTGGTTAAGTGTCAGACTTAGGCTCAGGTCACCATCTCACAGTTTGTGAGTTTGAGCCCTGCATTTGTCTCTCTGCTGTAAGCACAGAACCGGCTTCAGATCCTCTGTTCCCTTCTCTCTCTGCCTCTCCCCTGCTGGTTCTCTCTCTCTCTCTCTCTCTCTCTCTCTCTCTGTCTCTCTGTCTCTCTCTCTCTCTCTCTCTCGATAAATAAGTAAACTTAAAAAAATTAATGCACAGAAAATAGAACAACAAAGTAAAAAGGCAACCCATGGAACAGGAGAAAATATTTGCAAACCACATACCTGATAAAGGATGAATATAAAAAATATATATGAGGAACTCTTACAACTTAACAGCAAAAAAACTAAATAACCTGATTAAAAAGTTGGCAAAGGAATTGAACATACATTTCTTCAAAAATATGCAAATGGGCAATAGGTATATGTAAGGGTGTTCAACACATCGCTAATTATTAGGGAAAAGCAAATCAAAACCACAATGAGATATCATCCCACAACTGTTAGTATTGCTATCATCAAAAGAAGAAAAGAAAGGAAAATCCAAATGATAACAAGTATTGGTGAGGATGTGAATAAATTGGAACCCTTGTGCACTGTTGGCAGTAATGTAAACTGGTGTAGCCACCATGGAAAACAATATGCAGGTACTCAAAAAATTGAAAGTGGAAATACCATATCATCTAGCAATTCTACTTCTAGATGTATACCAAAAGAATTGATATCAGGATTCAAAGAAATATTTGCATAAGAATCTTAAGAGAGCATTTGTATTTCCTAACATTGGCCTATAAATTCTACTTCAACTTGCCAACTCCCCAGTTTTCTGCCAATGCACCTGTCAGTGAAGAAAGTGCCTGCCCCGGTGGTCTTTTTGGGATAATTTTGGAATGAAGGTGTCCCTATCCCAGGGACAATGAATTTTAAGAGCTAAAGCAAAATAGAGTGATGTGTAACCAAAGTCTAGAGTCTCTAATATTATAATCTCAGGCAATCATGGAAGGCCAGAGGAAAACTGTACTTGATCAAGAAGATGCCCTTTTGGAACAAAGGATGCCCATTTGCTCCACAGCTGTGAAGAGCTTTATCTATAGCTTTCATTGCTTTGAGTGTGGTGTGAACTTAGAAACTAGTTGTTAAATAGACATGAGGATATTTGTTCAGGAATTATGATTTATAAATAGATTTATTCAAATAATATTCCTGAAGCCATGTTTGGGCCAATCCCTTTTATGGATAATGAAGGCATTCAATGTAATCAGTATTGCCTTCCAGGAACTAGAATAGATCAGTACAATAGATGATTTCAGTAGCAGATGATAAGTTCTCTGAGAGACGTGTGTACAAGCT